ACCTCCACGCCCTACCCCTCCACCACGCTGCCCACCTCCTCTGAAACCACATCGCAAACCTACACCGCCACCACCAGCCTTACCACCAATACTACCTCAACTGTACCGTGCTGCACCAGCACTTCTACTACCCCTGTGTCAACAAGATGTTTTTGTAAAGTTGGGGAAGTGTTTTTTTCACCTGGTTAGTTTCTCTGGTTTTATCAGTTTATATATCTCATATTTAATACTTTGTGTTTATTTTTCAGCACATTTTTCCTTGTTTGCAGTTTAATATATTCAGATGTTTTACATGTAAATTTTGTCATGCCTATTTGATATTTTGTCTTGGTTTATTTTGCATGTTTATTTCTTTGTATCTTATTGCATTCTCTTTTTTTTCTTCAGGTGATTTGATTTACAGCAGAGTGGATAGTGATGGGTGTAGATTTTATGCTCTCTGTAGTCCAACATGTGCAGTTGAACGACATGATATATATTGTAACGTTAGCACTCCTCTAACTACTACTTCCTCTGAATGGTCTACTGTAACAACATCAGTGCCTCTCTCTACCCCTTCTGGAACATTTCCTTTTCCTGGTTGTGTTTCTTCTACTTACCCTCCCCTGCAGGTATGTATTTTCTGTCTTATGTTACAATTGCTGAAATAACATCAGCATTAGGTTGATACCAGAAAAGAAGAGTTTGCTGTCTTTAAACCTTATATGTGCAGATTGCCAGAATGAGTGTTGGTATTGATGGGCAATATACATGACATAAAATTTTTCTGTGCCTTCTTTATATTTTTTCCTAATACTGAGAATGCAAGCAATGATAACCTTTTCTAATGACTTTTCTCCTAGTAAAACACTTTCTGATGCACTGCATTGCATAAATAACAAACCTTCTTACTGAAATATTAGAGGAAGTTTTCTTGTGCATTTTGTTTCTTCCCTAAACAGAAAAATTTTACTTACTGTGGAGGCTTTTATCTGTTTCTGTTCTCCTGCCCTCTGTCCTGTACTTCTCTACACATTGTTTTTTTGTTTTGGTTTGGGTTTGTTTTGATAGTGATGATCTGTGCTGATATCAAAAGAACAGTACACATAGCTAGTATAAAGGACATCAGTTCCCTTAACCTAAAACCTATCCCTCCAAACCTCAGAAGAGCTCCTCATGCAGAATAAATAGCTGGAATTAAGGTTCCCACCTCTTTTTAGCATAAAAAAAATTAATTGTGTATAATATTGACAACTTTGCACTACCAGTGAGGATTTTCACTTTAGCCTTTGCTTCAGATTTGGAAAACAAAACAGTTTCTGATCCTCCATATCAGTCAGAATTATGAATACTTCTGGTCAACCCTGTAAATCATTAGTACCACAAATTGAAGAGAAGTAACACATACCAATTTCCTTTCCAACACCACCATTACTGGAAACAATATACCATTAAAATAAAAATATGAGTAGATTTCATATATGTTGGCAAACTCCTGTGACAGCAATTTTTGTTCATTTTGCAGCCTGGACAAAGATACAAATTATCCAACTGTACAGAACTCATCTGTAAGGGAGACAACAAGGTAGAAGTAATTCCAACGCACTGCCCACCTGCAAAGGAAATTACCTGTGCAAACAAATATCCAGCAATACTGGTACCTGATGAAAACGGCTGCTGTTACAAATATGAGTGTCAATGTAAGCACCAGTAGATTAAGGAATAACCTTTTCTGAAAAAAGCAAAACTTTGCACAGATTATATTGGCATTTTGTTTTCTTAGGGTTGCTCTATAAATTGTAGTATATTCACTTCAGTTTCTAAATTATTTCTACATTAGTTTTCATGTTAATGTTCTAAATATTTTCTCTCTACCAGGTGTGTGCAGTGGATGGGGTGATCCTCATTATATTACTTTTGATGGAACTTACTATACTTTCCTTGAAAACTGCACTTATGTCCTGGTGAAACAGATTATACCCAAATATGACAACTTCCGTGTTTACATTGACAATTATTACTGCGATGCAAGAGATGGACTTTCCTGCCCTAAATCCATTATTATTTTCTACAAATCTGCAGAAGTGGTGCTGACCCGTAAACTCATGAATGGTGTGATGACCAATGTGGTAAAATGCACATTTTTTATTTCTATATTTTTGCAAAAAAAAAAAATAAGGTCTATAGGCCTTACTGATTCTCATTTGAAATACAGTCTGTTAGTATATCATATCATGGAGGTGATGTGGGCAGAGGGTATCGTTAGGAAAAAAAAAAGATTACACCAGTTTCTAAGAACAAGATGTCAGAAACAGCTTAGCACTATGCAGATATTAATATATTATGTGCAGGTATGCATATATATACATAACACTAGGAAACAGACCAATACAGCTGACAGGGAGAGAAGACAGAAAGAACGCCCAAACTGGTGCTTGATTCATGTTTCATGAAAACTAGTACATTGTGCCATTCACTTAGGTAAAAAAAACACATGAAGAAACATGAATGCAAATCACAAGCATGATTCTTCTCTCGTGGTGAAGATGGATATGTATCCCTTATCAGCTGGATGACTAGGGACTGCTTCCTCTGCATAGCGAACTTCACTGTGACATGACTCCCCCTCCAATTCCCTGCTGGGAAGAGAGGTATAGCTGAAGAAAAGGGGTGACTGGTGGTGTCACTTCACCTTCATGATCCTAAACTAGTGCTGGCAAGCCAGTGAAAATGAAAAGTCAGTCCCACTGTTACACTGGGGAATTTACTAGTTGATTAGAGAACACAGAAGTAGGAAGAAAAGTTTGTCTCAATATGCACTCTCCCCCTACAGAGCCATGCCAAGTTCTCCTTACCTACAGTCAGAAAGACATGCTGAAACAACTAGTTCAGTGATTCCCTGTGAAAGAAAACAGTAATTGACAGCTTTAACTCTTACTTTATCCCAATTCAATGAGAAGAAAGTTGCAGAATAATTCCTGACAAAAAGTTATTATGCAAATATGTCCACCTTCATTAGCTCATATAAGATACAGGCTGTAAATGGAACAGCTTAGATTAACAAATAAATATGAGCGCTACATAAAACTGGCACCCGGGACATTTGACTTCATTTTTAATTCAGACAAGTCCTGCAAGGAACAGGTAGTATAGGGACTGTGATTTTGCAGCAAAGTTATTACATAATAATGGCAGGAATATTTCTGCAGTTAAAGAAAGCTACCACTCATTTGCATATGAAAAATGTTTACAACAAACAAAATGATGAGGGATACAAAGAAAATACCTGGATGTAGAATGCTGTGCATTAGCACACAATCTACACAAACACGGTACATAAAGGCCACAGATTATTATCACACTGTAGCAATATAGCAATACAAGCTGAGGTATTAATGCATATATATACTGTTATTGTGATACCAATGAGCATCGGATGTGATGCACAACAGTATGGAGTTATGCATGATTGTGAAGATTAGAAAATACAATATTTAAAACAATCAGGCAGAAGCAGTGCGTATTCTGAAGCTGTGTTTTTTTTTAACCCTGCATTCAGATGTACTTCAACCAAAAGACTGTCAAACCAGGCTTCAAAAAAGATGGCATTTCTTTCTCCACACTTGGCATCAATATGATTGTTGAAATACCAGAGATTGGTGCAACCATCACCTTTAGTGGACTAATTTTCTCGGTGAAACTCCCATACAGCAAATTTGGCAACAACACCGAAGGACAGTGTGGTAAGACAGATGCACTAATTGGAGGCGGGACTCTTTCTCCACGCTACTGTGGTTATTCTCACCCACTTTGGCTATGCAGTCTCATGACTGACAGAAATTTTTAAACTGCAGTAAAATGGAACTGAAAACAGTTCTGCTTTTCAGTTTCTGTAGGACCAAAAGCTCTATATTTCAGCAACCTGGGGTTTTATTTTTCCTTTGGGGCTGCGGTTTTAGATTTGTTTTTCCCTAACCTAAATTAAAGTTCATATAACTGTAAAGAAAGCACTCCCTATGAAGCAAGGCACCTTATACATTTCATGAGCACATCACATCTAAATGTGATATCAGCACAATAATATGTTGTGCATCTCTAATGTGGTTTATGAGACTTACACAGCTTGTTTCTTCCAGGAACATGTACAAATAATAAGTTAGATGAATGCCGCTTACCAAGTGGTAAGATCATTTCTTCCTGTCCCCAAATGGCTCCTCAATGGATCGTTGGTAACAAGTCGTCATGCCATGGAATACCAGGACCACCTGGAACCACACCTTCACCAAAGCCTCAGTGTGAAACACCTCCTCTCTGCAACCTTATCTGGAGCGAGTAAGAAAAAAACTAAATTAATTCACTCTTTCTAGACAAAACTGTCTCAGTGTCTTACAAGAAGAGTAAGAACTATAACCCTAGCATGTGATAATAGCTGGAAATAGCTTAATGGCAGGGTACATATGGTAAAAGGCCCTCGCAAAAGCAACTGCTCTTCTTTAATGACTTGCATGCCAAAGATAACTGAGCAAGGAGAGGTGAAGTCAGAAAATCAGGGATGCAGCAAGCACTAAAATCAGTACTTCCTGGGTTGCAATCACACAGCTTTATGTTGTCTTTCTCCCTCCCTAGCTTCCAGGACACGCTCACTCACTCTTAGTTACACTATTAAGTAAAGACTGAACTCTAAATTTGAAGTGGGCCTTCAGTACAAACCATAAAGAACCTGGTTACCAACCAGGTTAACAGAGCTGACAGAAACATTGCAGCCAAAAAGCTCCTTTCATTCTTTATACATTTTATGTAAAACATGGAGCTCCAAAAGCACAAAGGCTTGTTTCCTGCAGTATTTCCTATACTTGTGTGAGCTCTGACAAAAGCTTTTTTTCAGCTGGGTCACTTACAAAGGCCCTCTTACGCATGCTTGCTGTAGTGTCTAATAAGTTATGAGCTATTGTTTGTGCAATTTTTCTGTCAGCTACTTCTATCACCCCTTTTTCCTCAATCTGATGCAGTTGCCTTTTTCATGAAATTTCTGGTGTCATGCTGATGAAAAGTTGTCTACACATACAGAAACGCTATGACCGTTAGCCTCTTCAGAAGGGGGCTTCAAATTTCCTAACCTCTCCTTTCCTGCATCTATCTCCTAGCTTATTGGCTATTCTTCGGGCTTTGTTTCTGGTAATACATTCCCTCCTGATGCAGACAGTCACGTGCCATTAACTGGGAAGTGCTGGATTTTATATAATGACTGGTTAACATAAAAGGGGTTTGTTTTCTTTTCTGTCTGCAGGGTTTTTGCAGAATGCCATGCCGTGATACCACCAGAACCATTTTTCAAAGGCTGTGTTTTTGATGGATGTCGTATATCCAATGAATCCGCGCAGTGTGCCAGTTTGGAGATATATGCTACAGAGTGTGCTGCTAGAGGAGTCTGCATTGACTGGAGAGGAAAGACCAACAATACATGCCGTAAGTATTGCAGAACTCAAAAGTGTGTGTGAGAAATGGTAGTAATTAGTGGTTTATTCAGTAAACACATCTTACATCTAACACTTGGCTACTGTCTACAAAAACACAGCAATGTCCTTCCTCACAGAAGCCGCAGATGAAGAAGGGAAAGCTGTAGTCACTTTTGCTGCAAAAATGCATCTACTGTCAGTTTTTGATCTTATTTCTTCTTTTTCCATACAGCATATAACTGTCCAGCAAGCATGCTATACAAGCCATGTGGGTCCATTAATCCTGCTACCTGTGACCCAAGGTATGGAAAGACAAAAAAACCCACCCCAAAACAACTGCTTATATTTTTCTTTTTTTCTATTTTTACCTATCTACTTTCCTTAGAAAATGGAGTTACTTCATAAAGAAATGTCTTGTGAATTTGGATAATATATTCAAGATTTATAAGTATCAATCAGCTCTATGAATATGCACTTCCTGTTGCACTTCAGAAAATGTAAACTCTTTTGTCTCACTTGTATCTGACATGGCGACCTTCTGCATATGCTGCTCTCTTTCCTGCTTCACTGCAAAAACATTGTATTTAAATACATGCATTCCTCCCACTCTAGCCTTGTTGAGCTTCCTGGCTATGGAGTAACTGAAGGATGTTTCTGTCCTGAAGGAAAGACACTCATAAGTAAAGACAGCAACACCTGTGTCTCTGAATGCTGTAAGTAATCTGTAGCTAGTTTGGGGAATAAATAGAGATCAGGATTGATAGTCAGGAGGTCTGTGTTCTACTGCCATCTTCTACGTGGTCAGGTCATAGGCAAATCAGTCTCTTTAAGCTCCCTGTCTAAAAATCGAGTAATAAACAGTATTACTTTTTTTCTATCTTCCTTCCTTACAAGAGACCTACCAAGATGGTAGAAATCTACATTTCAGAAGAACTAGTCTGCATATTCATTTTCTTGTTAGTTTTATCTCCACAGTATTTCTGTTTGAAACTGCACAAATTTACTCCTCTATATCAGTTTTCAGTGGTGTAAATCTCCTTTTTTTTTTTTTTTCTTTCCAGCTTGTAGAGAACCAAATGGAGCATCCAGACAGGTAAGCATCACAATCAATGTGGTTTATCAAGCACAGAGAAGTGAAGCAAGAGGATATTTAGTGTAAAGTTTTGCTTAGGTTGGGGGAGACTTTACATTTTTTTCAAATGTTCTTTCCCCTTTAGTCTTAAAAATAATTATGAGTGCCAGAGCAGAAAACACATTACTCCCTAAGAAATTTAACAGTAATTGACGGGATATTCTTTCAATAACCATCACCTCACATACTGAAAAAAAAAGAAAAAAAAAAAAAAAGAGAAAGAGAAAAAAAGAGATAGATGGTAGTAGTGGAACTTTGGCATATGTCCTTCTTTTATTTCCACAAATTTGGCTTGCAAAAGTTACTAGAGATGAAGGGACAGATGGATAACAAAGTTTACCTGTTGCTGATAATGTTGATAGTCTGCATTCTCAATTCCTCAGCTGTATACAAATTATAGAAATTTCTCTCTGTAACCTAATGTGCAAATGAGTATGTTGTATGATAATTTCTTATTCAAAAATGCATGCAAAGCTCAATCACTTCCCCTTTAGACCTCTTGTCTACACTAACACTACTAATAAATAGAAAGCGGTAGCTGTGCGAACACGCTCTGAACCTTCAGTGGCCTCCAGTATCTCCCCTGATTAGCTTCAGTTTGACTCTTTCTTATAAAATCTAAAAATACTATAAATATGAAAAGGCTGACGTAATCAGGTATCACTGTATCCATTAATAAGTCAACCAGAAAGAAATAGAATTATTTTGGTTTGAATTTATGTATAATTTTTTTCTTCCTTTTTTTTTCCTTTTTCTTTTTTTTATAGCCAGGCGAAAAATGGACAAAAGATTGCCAGGAATGTGTCTGTGACAAAAATAATCTTGAAGTGCACTGTACAAAACACAAATGTTCTCTGACACAGCAAGTATTTTGTGATGAACCAGGTTACATGCCTGTTCAGATACAGATACCGGAAGATCCATGCTGTACCAAGACCGAGTGTTGTAAGTGCTGTCTTAGTTCTTTATCATGGGGAATATACTATATTCATTTTGGGAAACTACAGCAATAATTTATCTTTTTTTTAATACTTAGCACTGATTTCACAATGCTTTTCTCCCTCATCCCACTTCTTAGGACCTTCTTGCAGAGCATTTACTAGATGCCTGAAGAGAACAAATTTAAAGATGAGAAGATTTTACATAGTTAGACACAGAAAAGTAACTGGAGATCTCCTATAATTTAACACTAGAAACTTTTAATGCTACCACCACCTGAAACAATATTCAAAAACTATTCAAAGCATGTTCTGTTTCAAAGACCAGTATAAAAAAAAAAAATTATCTTAACTTAAAAAAAAAGTCTTGAACATTTAAAAATAGCTCAAGAGAGTTCCTGAACCTCTGAGAGTCATCAGATTTCCCAGTTGGTACAAATTTCTCTTTAGAAGTATCTCTTTCCAGCAATCACCATTCTATTCTTCTCAGACAATGCTTTGTTTTATGAAGGTTATGAAAAAGCCCATTCACTTTAAAAATAGCTGGGCAAATATACTGAATTAGTCATTAAACTAGCTTGTGTAAACAACACCGTATTTCCCCATGGGAAAACTTCTGAAGTTCATGCAAAACAAAATTACTTTCATTTAAAAATTCTGAGTTCATAATTTTCTATGTTCTCTTACCTTGAACAGACTGCAACACTACCCTCTGCCCTAAGGTCACACCCCAGTGCATAGTGGGACAGGAAGTAGTCACGATAATGCAGCCTGGAAAATGCTGTCCTACCTTTGAATGCAGTAAGTATTATGTACCTTCTTTGTGTGTTATTCACAGCTATATTTTTCCAAGTTTATGAATACAAAAACATTAAAAGAGAAAGATGCAAATTATCAGTGTTATCATATTGGGCTAAGAAAGCAGCAGTTTTTTCACATACTTCTGCTTCTTAAAACTTAACACCTCTATGACACTACCTTTTTTCCTTCTTTACAGGACACGGCTGTGTAGTCAATGAAACCTACTATGCAGTAAGTACACAGAGTCACTAACTATAAAAACACACCTTCACATAGGTTCACAATGCAATGTGTTTGGGATTCCTAGCATGGACTATATTTTGCAGAAAGGCCTGAGATAAAACATTATTAATTATTTAATCAAGGTCAACATATCAACACCCCCCCTACAAGCAAAAGCATTTTCCGCTCTCCTTTCTGCATTAGCAGAATTTAATTCCAAAATGGATATTAACAACAACAGAAATTCTGCTTAAATAAAGCAACCAAAATTGTATTTAAGGATAGTTTAGCCCATACATAGTTCAGCTTTGTATTGTCTGCGATGTACATACACAGAGTAACTTACTGACTAATAATGAATTTTTTTCTGACTTCCCCTAGCCTGGAGCTGTCATTCCATCAGGTCCCTGTGAAGAATGCACCTGCTCTGAATCCTCTTACTCAAGCCCTCACCACTTTACTGTCAAATGCAAGCCTGTTATCTGTAACACATACTGCCCAGCCGTGAGTGCTATTTTGTTGTCAGTAATTCCTACCCCACTCAGCTCAAATATCCACCAGTTAAGGTCAGTGTCCTGGCTCAATGTAATTTTATTTCTATTTCTTTCAAAACAGGGTTTTAAGTATACGAAGAAACCTGGAGAGTGCTGCGGCACATGCAAGGCAGTGGCTTGTGTGCTGACTGTGGGAGACAACATTACACGTGTGCTCCAAGTAACTATCCCTGGTTTAGTTCACTTTTGGTGAACTCTGCTAGTCTTTTCAGTGTTTCCTCTCCTTGTCTTTGTCACATTTATTAGCTGCATCTTTTCTCATGTTAGACAAATGCTTATTCAGGCAGGGAATTGACTGTCTCACAGAGCTTGAACAGTGCCTTGAGTCATGAAACTCCAGTCCTAAGACTTCTGGAAGTAACTGTGATACTGAACAATGGCTTTCGAAAAATCAACATAGAAAGATACATAGGTGAAAGCAATGGGCCCTGATTTGCCTTCAGCTCTGAAAATATAGCACCCATTTTGCTCAAAGGATAATTTTATCTGTGGAGGCAGTTTTCTTCTCCAAAGAGCCAGTCTTAAGTTAGCTGAGAGCTTTAGGACAGGATGAGTCAGTGAAGCCAGCAGAAATTCTGCCATGTATCTGGGTGGACATACCCATAAATTCTGATGACGAAACCATTGAAACATGAACTAATCTTTCTAAATGGGTCCACATAATTATCCTATTCACGCAAAAAGCACATCCTTATCCAGATAAAAATACAGCCTCTTCACTTGGTTAATGAAAAAGACTTAACAGCAGTATGATAATATGACAAGTAACTATCAGCCAAAATTCAAGGAAATTGCCCAGAATAATCAAATCGCAGTAGGCAGCAATGATAAGACACTGGGAGATGGGGGGGGGTGTTTCATTTTTATGTAAGAAGATTTTTATTCACTTTAATTTCAACTACTTTCAGGTTGGAGAATTCTGGAACCCACCAGGTGATAACTGTACAACTCACACATGTGAAAAATATGGTGACCTGTTCATTCAAGTCATGTTAAAGAAAAGCTGTCCTCCCTTTAACCCTGATGACTGTGATCCAGTAAGTACTCTTCTGCCAGTTCTTATGTTTGAAAATGTTGCAGAGGCTAACACCAGTGATAAAAGGATCATGGTGTCCAAGGAAAATACCTAGCAGAAGCATCACACAGGATGTAGCTCATTTTATCCTTTCTGAATCTGGTCCCCATCAAATTTCATTTCAGAAAAGCAAATAAAAATTAATCTTATTGAAAACTGTAGGGATTTTTATTCCTAGATTGTTTAAGATTATAAATTCTTAGAATTCACTTACTGAGAACAAAGGTGAAGGAAAATAAGCTACTTCAGTTCAGTTCACAACATCCTTCAAGTTAATACGGCTCAGGGTAGATTAGAACCAGCCCCACACATCTGGGGAGTTAGTTATTTCATTAGTTGTGTTACCCTGTCTGACATAATCCTTCACCTGTACTGATTTTTGTCACTCAAAATATCCCACATGTGCTACAAGCTTTATTTCTGAAATTTTACTACTGAACTCTGATGACAGCAAAGCAGTTCCGGTGCCCCTCAATGTCAGCTTTCAAAGAGCTCTTGTTGATATTGAATTGAAGTAGCTATAAGCCCTTAATACTTAGCCTTGCTTGAAATAAGATTTCATATCAATACAAAGAACTTTCTGGTGCCAGAGAAACTTAGGAAACATGGAAAGTCTCTGCTTTAGTATGCAGATATGAAACCTGAGTTATCTTTTTCTGTTTTTCAACTCAAGGATGACATCAAGCTATCCGATGATGGCTGCTGTAAAGAGTGCCAAAACAACCTGAAGAGTAAGTAATGATAATTTTGTTAAAAGTAATGATAATATGTGCCTGATTAGGTATATTAGTCCATCTTGCATGGTAGGTGCATAGACAGAAGAGGTGAACAGACCAAGTTTGGGACCACTGCTTCACACTGGAGTGAGAAAGGAAACAGGTGGAAAAACAAAGAAACAGAACATTTCCAGCATGCACTTTAGGGCACTGGAAAAGATGGATATGGTGAACTTTCCAATCCCCTACTGTTAAATGTTAGCCTTTTTGTGGGAGGGAGAGGACTATGACTATTCTCCAACTTCCATAGATATATTCTCTTTAAGGATGAAAGTGAAGCCAGTCCCACTAGGTGGGTGTGCATTGAGCAGTTACCACAATACTGCTCTTATTTCTGCATCTTGCACCAAAGTTGCATAAGCAAAAGGGAATTTTTTATTCATTGATAACACAAGCAGCAAGAATCATCATTTGGCCCTTAGCAATTAAGAGAGAAATGCACTGTGACCTAATTTCCTATTTCAGCTCCATCCATCTCAGTTTTCTACCACAAACTGTCTATCATACACAGGTATCTATTTATGTGCACATATATTTTAACCTATTTTCCCTTGGTTTGTGACAACCTCAGGTTGTATGAAGCACAATACTACTACTGTCATCAAATATCATGGATGTGTATCTCCTGCACCTGTTGAGATGACATACTGTGAAGGAAGCTGTGATGCTTACTCACGGTAAGTGGTATAAAAGATAATTGTGGTCTCTTGTCTTCTACTCTTTACACTAGTTACATAAAGCAAATCACAAGTGATTTGGTAATATGTCCAACATTCACCCAGCCTTCAGCTGTTTCCATTGTGCTAACTAGAATTTTTAACAGATGTGGTGTTGTACTATCTTAATTACCTCAAGACTCACAATGTTTTAACAGCCTGTTCAGTTTCATAGTGAATCAACCTGAGTTTTGATTTTGCCCATGTAAAAGTGAGGTTATGTGTTTCCCACTATTCTCTCATTTTGGACTGGCTTAATATGTGATCTGGATTAATTAATTTACTTTTTCTGTGCCTTAATGAATAGCTAGATCCATCCATTTTCACAATGAGAAGCAACTTATATTTCACCACAGTACTGTAAGAATAGTAATATTGAGCAATAGTCCCACATGCAAGCACACAACTTCTGGTTAGTAATGGTTGGAGGGGCACTGGTATTTCTCACATAATTTCTGAATCTTTCTCTTTTGTTGGTTTTGCAATCAGATATTCTCCAGAGGCGAACACGATGGAACATAAATGCTCATGTTGTCAGGAAATCAAGACCAGCCAGAGAAAGGTGACTCTGACGTGCAGTGACGGAACCTACCTTGATCACTCATACACCTATGTGGATAAATGCAGCTGTGTGAGCACTGACTGCATTCCCCAAGTCGGCACCCAACAGGCAACAAACCAGATAAAGGCCTCTCAGGGAAAAGTGAATGTCTAAAACTAGAACTAAAGAGAAGTCAAACAAGGTTTGAACATAAGACTAAAAAAAAGAACTTTAAAAAACCCACAAAAGTGTCAGAAGCAGCTAAAAGTTTGGATGAACAGATGATATTTTTTGCATACAAACTCAGTATGTCTGTCTATGTTATTTCAGTTTTCATTACCAATATATCTCCTATTGTTTTTATGTCTTTCCTTTTACACCTTGAGAGGTACAGCGTAAGGTCATTTTGACATTTTCCGTTTGTTTGTCTTCTGTGAAGTGCTGTAGCATAAGAATGAGAGCTGGATTTACACTTGCACAAAGTCTGTTATGACAACAACGTTCTTTTCTGGCTTGAAGCTTGCCTGTGGTGGCATAATATAGACACTTGACAATATCTAATATTTCCACTGACATAGACTGACCTTTTTTGTAACATTTTCATTCCAGTTCATTGAGACAAAACAAAAGCTAAAGACCAGAAAACAAACAAACAAAACCCAAGGAAAACTGTACCAATCTGTTTCTTTGTTTTTCTTGTTGCATTAAGGAGAACTTAGACTGCAGAAAGCCATACCTTCTTAAAACTATAAACTTCAATATTTTGAATAATTTATGATGGACATATTTCCCTATATATTCTCATGAAAGAGAAAGAAATTCTAGCATGAGAAGCTGCTGCACACTACTCTTGTTTACATAACACCATCAGCATAGTAACTGTATGAAAAATGGGCTTTTTTTTTTTTTTTGTGGTTAACTGTTTACAGAAGTAGTGTGTGTATATATATATATATTTGCCAACAGGGGCATATGAAGGATTTTTGTAAACAAAAGTTAATAATATAATAATAAAAACTGTAAATTCTTTCCTAGAAAGCTTTTGAAAGTTGAACCATTGCTATTTATTTTGGTTTTGGAAAATTGATTTATTGGGTCATTTCTTTCAGAATTAATGTTATCCCATTTCTTAGTCTTAGTCATGTTATCTGGGTGTAGTATATTTTCTTCTATTTTGTTTTGGAATATTGTTTTATTTTGTTCCTTATGAAAAAAAAAGTAATGATGATTAATAAATTCTAAGCATTTTACAGCATGCCTCCTTTGACTTTTCACTGAATCGCTCACATGAGAGTTACTGGCCCCATAAAATATTTGTTTCCCATCCTAGTACAGCCATGTGTCAATAGCTCCAGGTCAAATATCAATCTAGACTGTGGTACCTAATCCCCTGTAGAGCTCTGATACTGCTTTGAATGAAAGGCACTTAAAAGCAAAGTGTTCCAAGCACATCACTGCAGATACTATCAATTAGTGAGCTTCCAGTAAGCAAGCACATCTTTGAGTCTGTTCATTTTGTAGCTCTGAAAATTCTTTACCTGACAGACAGAAAGTATCCAAAGTATTCCAAACCAGTTAGTCTCATATTTTAGGGCCCACTGCAACATACTTAAATCTCAAACCTGAAATTGCACTGTTGTAAATCTACAAGTTTTGACAGGTTACTATGCAGCTTTTATGACACTATACTTTGAACCAGCCACCGCATATTTGACAGTAGATTGTATAATGCCAAGCAACATGTTTTACACTATTTACAAATGACTGCTCTAGGATCAGTAGGGGAAACAGTAAAAAATTAAAGCTGATGACCTTTCTCCTAACCTACAGTTTGGACAACTCAGTAGAGGGAGTAACAGGGTAACATCATAGGCTTTCAGCAGGTGCCCCACAGCAGCTTAGGCTACTTTCTCACCTGTTTTTCTTTCACAGAACAGTAACAACCCATATATTCCCTCACTAAGAGGTGAGCACTGAGTTCTCCCTGAGGATCACTAGTAACATCATACTTCTGCTGGCAAAACCCCCTACCTCCTCCCAGCTTCCTGTTGACAAATTGTTACTTCACTGTCTGTTTTCTCCAGTCCTTAGGCTCTTCTGCTTCCCAGTGAGGCCCCAGGTGGTATACTGCTCTGTTCCCACCTTTCCACCTAACCCACCAGGCTTCCCAATCTAGCACTACTACTGAATTCATGACCAGTTCAGTGAGTGACAGATTCTCTGGCCTTCCCAGGAAAGCTAGGAAATTATTATTCTCCCACTCATTCTGCAGAAGAGAAAAGGGATTGTCTATAATATAAAATCAATTATTATGCACTTCTTTGGCCCCCAACAGCTCCTTGTCCACAGTTAACCCACTGAACAGACTCCCTGCATGTTGCTTCAAGATCATTAGTTGTTTTTCCATTCAAAGCCTCTATCTCAGCATCCCAGCAGCTACCTTCTTCCCTGGAAAACTCTGTGTGTATTAAGTCTGTGCCACCAGCCACTTCATGCAACTCACTGAAAGAGGAAAAACTAATATGTGACACATGGGAAGAATGACAGGTGATTATGACAGGAACAGCAGAGGCCAAAACCAACCTAGAGTTTAGTAGCATAAGAAAAAAAAAAAAAAGAAAGAGAAGCAACGGAATGGACAGACTTTGGTCCTGGCATGGGGAGACAAGGAGGCAAGGAAACAAGGAATGAAAACATGAGCCAAGGCAAACCATGGAGGCACGCAGAACCTGTGGCTGAGGATGTACTGGAGATGCTGCCTTGGAGAAGGAAGGATCTGTATCAGATACAGTCCCAGTGCTAGGAAAGAGCAAATGGGAACCCTCAATTCAAGAGAAGGAGAGCAAGGCATACTTTGAGCATGAAAGAGCAAGTAGAAGGACTTGCAGGGACTCCCTGAAACAAGACACGGAGTAAGTGAAAAACAGAGAGCTGCAGTGGATATAGTAGACAAGCCTTATAGGCTTCCTAAAATTTTACTTTACATAGGACCTATCTTTGCTCTGAGTTATTGCTGATGCAGCCTAGGTAATAGCTCCGAAGTAAACCTTTCTAAAAACTGGGATGAATGAGATCAGTTATAGCTCTCAAAAATAAATTGCCAATTTTTTAAACTGCAGATAAATAATAAAGTCAATAGACAATTAGGTGGAAGAAAGTGATTGGCTTGGTAGCTCTTTATTGACAGTTGGTTAGAGCATGGTGCTACTAACGCCAAGTTCACAAGTTCAATCCCTGCTCACTGCAGGGGGGGTTGGGCTCGATGATCTCTCAAGGTCCCTTCCAACCTAGAGCATTCTATGATTCTATGATTCTATGACACAGGCCAGAATACTGTGCAGGTAACGCCGAAGTATACCGGTGTAGATAATTAATGTCTATTACACCAACGCTAACACTAGAGGGCTCTAGGCTCACAGTTTACAAGCCCGTGTGAAAAGGTTTTCTGTAAAAGGGTTTCTTTCAGGGCACTTCGAAATGAGCCACATAATAACTTACTCTTGAATGTACAGGCATCCATTCCACATAACATACCAAGTCTTGTTTAGATGTCCCTTTTTTTCCCTATCTGATCATCTTTGGAACACAAATAAATTGCAACAGAGAAATCATTCACTTAGGACAGAACTTATTCCAGCTGTTCAGAAAACATTCAAAGGTTTTGGGTCTAATTTCAATATTGGCTGTCAGCAATCCTTCTCTGGGCATTCACACACTTGCTCCCCACTAAGGTCTCCTGTTACATAGCCTAACTACTGCATGACCAGCTTATTTGTTCCCCTTTTCCACACAACATTTTAAAACTGTGCAGTGTAACTAAAAAAATCATTACTAATCACTTTTCAACTATGCTTCATAATTATCAGTAACATACAAAATATAAAATATAATATGAAATTATATATCTATTCAGATTTACCTCCTAAGAGTCCAGTTCAAGCAATTCATTTGACTGTTAAAGCACGACAGCTAGCTTTTAAGCTACCTCATGTTCCGAGAACAGCTATGGAAATACTTAGGATTGCTTGTGGTACAACCCAGAAGCAGGGCTGGTAAAAGACAACTCAAGAATGGAAACCACACTTAATAATAGCAAAACCTAACTCAAAGGAGGCAGCTTGCTTCCTCTTCAATAGGTTTTGTTCTACCATTGCAAAAAAGGCCAGCTCTGTTGCAAGCAGCCAAATTAAAACAGACTTTTATAATAGAACAGGAGACTAGTTCTATTTGAACATAATTAATGTAATAATAAAACAATTATGAATGCACAGAAAGTACATTTTTGCAAATGATACTGTGTTCATGACTGCCACATTTTCTTTTGCTCCTTACTGTTTCAAAAATTTCCTTCCTGAGTCTCAGATTTCTTTCAACATTCATTATAATTCATATTTATAACTATAATTAGGTTATAAGGAACCAGCAAATGTTTGCACTGTTACAATAATTGTTGTTACTAAGAATTATTCACATAGTTAAAATCTTTTAAATAGACAGAAACTTACTCTGTCTGCTAACTGCTTTCCTGCTGTTACAGCCATGCATGCAAATAAAATCCCACTTTTGCCTCCCTCTGTTTTAAGAAAGCAAAGGCTGTCCAGGCAGTAAAAAATGGAGCCATTAAACATGAGCAGTTATAGACATCTTATGCATTGTTTCACAAAATGCTGTAGACAACTGCATGAGTCTAGTAGCCAATCGTGAAACTACATCATTGCTTCTGCACTTGCACCAGCCTAACTGCAAAGATATCCCCATGGCTGTTACTTGTTTTCACTGACTTAAAAACAAACAAACAAACAAACAACAAACAAAAACAGAAATATTTGAGGGGAGCCTGGTTCCAAGACAAATTTGGAACTGGCCTAAGTTTTGGAGAATATCAGATGTGGACTCTGCAGCTGTTCCCTCACTCAGCAAGGAGCCAGTCAAAACCTCTCATTCCACTTCAGTGGATCTCTAGGGAGGTTTGGGGCCAAAACTGGGCTTTATCACATTGCTCAATGTCATACCTACTGAGGCACATGACTGCCAACTGCAACACAGGTACAATATGAGAATTGGCAGACAAAATATAAGAGTAGGTGATATAGAAACTGTGGAAAAGTCATAGTAAACACCATCATGGAATGACCTCCTGCCACAGCAGAACTAGCTTTCTTATTCACATTAGT